AACTGCAAAAACAGAAAACGTGACAAAATCTACGAAAAAGCAAGGGCATTGGCCGGGACCATGCCGCGACCAGCCCGGGATTCGAGCCCAGGACCATTTTGGACCGTGCTTATTTTCCCGCGCGGGTCGAGAGGGTGCCCCAAGATGTAAATCAATTGGGATGGCAGAATCTTGGACAATTCCCGGGTCGCTCAGGTAGCTTTCCTGGAGAATTTGCGTCGCTTTTAGGGTGGGATTTCGTCACTGCAACAAGGGTCCGGAGGGGTAGGGGAGGTAAGGTCTAGGTCTAAGGCTAAGGACTAGGTCTAAGGCTAAGGATTAAGGCTAAGGCTAAGGCTTAAGGCTAAGGCTAACATCGACAGTCACGCCTCACCCCACGGTGTGGGGTCGGCGGATTTTGTCACTTCTGTGCTTTATGGCTTTAACTTGTGTGCTGTTTCGTGTTTTGAATCGTTCTGACAGGCTCTCTCGATGCTCATTGTAAACAAACTCAGGGGTGGCCTGAAGGCCGGAGGAACAGATCAGAGACATGTTCAGAATGGTTAAGTTAAGGCAAGTCATTGTGATTTCTTTTGTCAAAAGGTAGAAAGACAGTCAAAAGCAATTGGCAAAAATACTCACAGGAAAAGAACACGAACACAGTTGAAGCGAAAAGCAAGAGATGAACAAGGGAAGGCAAGGGGCCTTGCCACTTCTTTGGAGCTGTTTACCGCTATACCCTGACTACTCCGTTCATCACTTGATGTCAAGTAATTTCCGCTGATAAATGTCTTCTCTAATGCGTACAACGCTTGTATACAGTTCTTATCCGTTCTTCTTTTCTTTCAGGCCTTTAGACCTTGCTTTCTTTGAAACTTAGTACTAGGCTGGCGCTCAATCACACTTTCCTTGCCAGGTCGCTGCCATCAAGGCCCCTGGTTTTGGTGACAACAGGAAGGCCATCCTTCAGGACAATCGCTTGGGGGGATTGGGCCATGTCTTTTGCATTGCCCTACCTCACAATTGACAAGAATTGTCTTCTTACACTCGGTCTGTACAATGAAACATTCTTGTAAGTGTGCTGAAGGTGGCTTGAGTCACTAAAATGAGCAGGTTTGGAGGATGGGGCAAACAAGGACTTGCAATTCTAGCTCAAGTAACTCAAGTGCCAGGATCTCTCAGTGCTGACTGGGGCAGAGCTCATCACAGAGGAATTAGGTGGCAAATTGGAGGAGTGCTTGGCTGCCGTGTTTGCAGACTTACAGCTGGTGAATTACGGGTGACCAGGACGTGCAGCTTTCGCAGTTGGGCACTGCCAAGACCATCTCCATTGACAAGGTTCCACGACATTCACCCAGTCACTGGATTCAGTTACCTTCCCGGCCAGGATAGCACTGTGATTCTAGACGGAGCCGGTGAGAAGGCAAAGATTGAGGTGGGTGGTTATTCGTTGTTGCACATCAGTGCGAACAAACGACTCAACACGTCCAAATGGGTGTCTCTTCTGTGCAGGAGAGATGTGAGAGCATCCGAGACAGCATTGACGCATCCACTTCTGAGTACGAGAAGGATATTCAAGTCTTTGCTGCCTCTTCAACCCTGTGGCAAAGAGTCTACTTATCAAGCTTACAAGTATACTGACTGTAGATTGCAGGGTTGGCTGTGACAGAGTTTCCTGGGTGCGACGTAATTTCATGCAGTTTCTGGAATAACATGTGTGATACATGCCCGGACATGTTTGTGTGAGGACAAAATGAAGGAACGCCTTGCCAAGTTGAGCGGAGGTGTTGCAGTCATTAAGGCTGGGTGAAGTCACCAGTCAAATTGATATATACAATCCAAGACATTCTGAACAGCAGGTGGGTGGGGCAAGTGAAGTGGAAGTCAATGAGACCAAGGCGTGGCAATTTAATTGCTGATTGATGCAGGTCCAGTTTTGATTTGAGAGCCCTGGTTTTTTCATGATGCTACCAGGACCGCTTGAACGATGCCTTGAATGCCACCAAAGCAGCACTGGAAGAGGGCATCGTTCCTGGCGGAGGCATACTGGTTTCAAGTGATGCTGAACGACAAAGGTGCAACTTACACAGAAGCCGAAAATGGAGCGTTGGAACGACTCACCACCGGATGAACAGACGATTGCATGCGTACTTTCTGGAAAGGCGAGGTCGAAACGTGTTTGCATTCCTGCTTATCAGGTGCTGCTCTTCTGTATGCCACTCTGAAGCTGGAGGCGTAAAAGAAGTCAATCACATTCATTCCTGTGCATTTGTGGTTTTGCTTGGCTGTTCTTTCGCTTGAATGGCAAGCAGATGCAGATATCCAGTCACAGTTCTGACTGGGCACCTGTTGAATTACAAAGAGGCATTCGGTCTTGCAGGAATAAAGGATAGGTTTTGGAATGTTGTTGCATAGCCCAGAATTGCTAAATTACTGGCTTGTGACTTCCCTACCAACGCAACGTTTGGTCAGGGCGTCAAACTGGATAGCTTGGATCAACAGGTGGGAGTGGATGCCATCAAGGCCGGACCGCGAATTCACACATCCAAAGAGCCACAAGCAGCATTCTTGTTTGAAGAAATGCTTTTGTTACTGGTGGTAGAGGGTAGTAGCAAAGGGTAGAAAAGCAGGAGACTCTTGACAAGGTTTGCAGACCTCTGCCAGCCATACTGATAAAGTCGAGCTGAGCTGCTGGACTCTGTATCGCCAGGCTGCCTTGAAGCAGCCCTGCATCCAGATTGCTCAGCACCTCGGTCAAGGGAAGCACTTGAAACAGGTGTTGTAGCAATGCCACGCTTTTGTGGTGTCTTCGTACAGAACCTTCGCATTTGTATATATATATATAATTCGAACACCGTTCCGGGCTGGTTAAGGGCCCCACGTCTCGACCAGAGCTGTGCCAGCGTTTCCAGGAACGCGGGAGAAGAAGGTGCAGTAGTTGTGCAGACCTTGACCAAGGACAAGTGCAGAAGTATTCTTTTCACAACCTGAGATTACGTTTGTCATGGTTTGGACTTTGGCTAAATGTTTTCCAGGAAAAGGCATTGTCCAAGGGCTTCAATGCACAGACCGGCCAGTATGTTGATTTGATTGAGGCTCAGACACTGTTTTTGCGAGTCCTTGCATGTAATTTGTGCTAGTACAATACTGGTAGTTGAACTTAGCTGGCTCTATATACATATACATACATACATACATACATACATACATACATACATACATACATACAT